GCTGCTTTACCCCACATACGCACGACCCGAAGCAGCGGAAGCGGTCGACTGTGGCATAATAAAAGCTCCGCTGCTTTACCCCACATACTCACGACCGGAAGCAGCGGAAGCGGTCGACTGTGGCATAATAAAAGCTCCGCTGCTTTCGAGCCGTGTGTCATGCTCGTTCAGTGCCTCGTTTCGCTTCGACGGCTTTCAGCCTCACTCTGCTTCATTCTACTACGTTAATAAATCATTAGCTCATCCATGAACATGATTTTTGCCCGAGTCCCGTCGGATTGCATCAGCTGTGCGGATGAAGATCACAACTCCCATGATTCCACACCCAGTCACGGCGTCATCAAACTATGCCTCTGTTTCTTTGTTTATTTTGAATATGCGCCCTCTAGTGGCACAAATTACATATTGTGCCTTTAAGTGTATATATGTATAATTATATACAATTAATATGCATAAATGTAAACAATAATAGCGTTTATGTACTATATACCATAGTGATATATTTATATTATAGAATTTAATATTTTAAATGATCTTTTTAGAAAAGTTTTTTGCTTTTGCTATTTTTATTTATTTTTTTGTAAATATTTCTATTTAGCTTTAATTTATATTGTTCTGCATTACATTTAGAAAATAAATCATTTAAAAATCTGAAGGCATAATCTGAACTTCGTAGCAAAATGGTTAGGCACAGATTTGGAGTTTTTTTGCACTTTTTTTTTTTTTTTTGACGATTACCATATATTTTAATAGTTGAAATGTATATATTTTAAGAGTTGAAATTTAACCAGTTTTAACTTCATTTATTTTTAAGTTATACAAGATTCAACAAAAATTTTTTTAAAAGTCAGTTTAAAATTATTTAAGTTTATTTTAAGTTGAAGCAGATGGATTTTTTTACAGTGAGAACAAGTCAAAATGTGCAAACAGTAATATTACTCAGAATGTAAATCAGGTAGGAACATCATGCCATGTAATTAATATTCATGAATGTGAGAATTTTAAGCTCATGAATATTATTTTAAGCTCCTCCCTTACATATTCAGACTATTGCTATGCTCCTCCCCATATTCTAGAGTAGATTTAAACATTTTCTCGTCTGAATTCAGATCATAGTCTGTACTCAAACACACGAGCTGCTCTGTTTGATGTTATATTTCGGTGTTGTTCATCTCTTGGTTACTTCTCTGCGGTGTCCTGGATACGATGCTCCACGCTCTGGCTCTCGTCCTGTCGTGTCGATGCCAGATAGTTGTCCTTCATGTAGGCCTCCCATGACAACAGCTCCTCTTCCTCAGTCTGCTCCAGTTCCTGTCCTATGAAGAATCATGCACTTAAACCAGGGATTGAGACACTCAACAGTTGTTTTGAACTAGCGAAAACAAAAAATGAAAGTGCACTTTTAGCACCACCAAATTCTTTGGGTTTGATTCCCAGGAAATGCATGAACTGATAAAATGTAAACACTGAATGCAATGTAAGTCACTTTGAATAAAAGCATCTGCCGAAAGCATACATGTAAATGTATGAATTTACATGTATGCAATACAAAAACAGGCAGTTCTAAAAAATTTTTTAATAAATTAGTTAAAAATATATATAATTTAAAATGGGCAATTCTGACTCTAGATTCTGATTGGATTAGTCAAGTTCAGAGCAGTTAAAATGCAGATTAACACACACCAAAGTTATTTTAGTATTATTTATAATACTGGTATAGCATATTTTCAGTTTTCATTTGGATTATTATTATTTTTAATTATATTATATATATTTCTTATCTTATTAATTATAAATTATAATTATTTTTTCTTTTTAATAAATTAATATCCATTTGATCATTTTTATTTATTTATTTATTTAACACATTTCCATGTAGCTTTAATTTATATATATTTTTTAGACTATATATATAATATATTTTAGAACTTCAACTTTAATTCTAGAACATTTATTTCAGTTTGTTGGGCAATCCGATATTTATATTTGAGCATTAGTGTAATATCAACTATTTCAGATACTGTAAACATGCAGCAGGTAAATAAACAAAATGAATCATTTTTGTGGCTTTTTATGTTGATCAGACAGACTCGTCCTGTCTAAGTTGGCGCTTATAGGCCAGAATAAAGTGGACTAGACTTCATGCTGTTGACTAATGGAGATCAGTCATCTATCATGACGCGTGTGTTTTCTGGAGAAGGCGTTTTGGCTCACTGAAGTGTTTGTGTCTCTGTGGAGGGTAGCGCAGCAGCACTCCTCTGATGAAGAGGATGAGGTGACTGAGGAGGATGAAGGGTGGAGGAAGAGCGGGTCGACTGTGGTACTCCTTAATCAGCTCGTAGCGCTGGAACTTCCAGATGGTGTCTGTGTTGTCCTGGACCCCCTGGAACGTGTAGCTGTGAGTGATACACAATGAGACAGAGTTTAAAGCCCTGACATTCACTGCAATATTTTATAATGCAACTTCTATAGTTTTGTACAGGAAACGCTTTGCGAATGACAAGATACAACCTGAGACTTATGAAGAAAGATATACGGGCTCTGTTTCAAAACCAAGTAAGCTGTCTGCATTTTAAGGCAGTTTGTTCTGTTTCTTCATGTCATTCCAGACAGACTGACGATGATCAGATCAGATCTCTGTGTGGAGCACTGGCTGCTGTCAGACAAAAATCTCACTGGATTATTACAATTAATGGCAAAATTAATGTTTGGAAATGTAAACTGATATTTCCTACTGACTCACTACAGCAAAAGATAGAAATAACTGACTTAAAACAATTTTTTAGCTGATGAAAATACTAGTGTTCTAATAATTCTGGCCACCACTGTGTATATATATATATATATATATACACACACACACATAGTAAAAAGCAGCATAATTATGGGAGGATAAAAAAAATATTATTTCTGAAAAAAAAAAATGTAATAAGTAATTGCACTTGTTTTAGAAAATAAAAATAATTAATAAGAAAAATTCTACATGTATATATATATCCAGACACGCTTTTATCAAAGAACTGGATATTTGCCTGCGTAAATAAACATATATGAATATATGAATAAATGAATAAATAAATAAATGTTCAAACTAACTTTTTAACTGTCTAATAAAAAAAGAGAGAAAACACACTTTTTAAAATATATTTTATATATTTAGACATATGTTTAAATACAAATACATAAAACTGATCAAACGGCTGAAAGGTCTGAGATTTTTTTTTAAAACAGCCCTAAAGTATTTATTTGTGTTGTGTGTTAGTTATAGTACCACATTGTTAGCTTTACGACATATAAATGGCAAAATCTATTGAAATCAGATGTCAATGTCAAGTCTTTCATTAAGAGCACTATTAGTATGATGCACAGACACTGTGCATGTACAGGAGAGATTCAAGTCAGCTCACTAGGTTTTGGAAACAGAGCCGCAGGTAAGTGTTTGTGGTCACCCGTCTCTGTCAGTTTACTCACTTGAAGATGGCAATGAGGAGGTTGAGCAGCAGGATGTTGGCGAACAGCAGATAGACACACAGCATGATGATGGTCAGCCATTCTGGGAAGGCCGACATGTTCTCATCGTTCAGCACGGGACATTTGGGCTTCAGAGGATCGGAGCCGTTCACACTACAGCTGCCCACATCAAACTGAGTGTCTGGATCATAAAATACAGAAACATTAGCTTTCGGACTGGTCTTAATTTGGACTAAATCTTAGTATTTCTGAATGATCCTAAACTGACCTGTGACTTATTTAGACTACTGACTTTAGTCATTGATTTGAAGTATACAAAACTAGCTTTTTTTGCATATTAACATATAATATTTAACATATGCAATATTTCATAGTACTTTAACAGTTTAATTGCATATTTAAATAGCATGTTTCATTAAATGTTACTGCGTATTTAAATAAAAAATGTTCTACCACTGAATTATAACTTACTTCAACTGCTGATTTAGTCTTAGTTATTGAGTAGTAGTATACAAAACTTTTGTTAGATTTAATATTTACATATTGTTACGTATCCGGTCCATGAACTTCCGTCTGCTAGCCATCAGAGGTCACCCTTTCCATTTTCATTGACTCTCGCACTACACACTGTTGCATATCACCCTGGACTACATATCCCATCATTCATTGCACTGATTGCACACAGCACTGATTGCACACAGCTGTTTCATATCACTCACTCACTATTTAACACTCACTCTGATCCCTTCCCTCTGCTGAGTATTGTTTAGCGCTTATCTTTTGATAGCTACACCACAGAGCCCTCATTAGTTTACCCTGGCTTAGCCTAGTCTTGCCTTGTCTGTTCCAATCGTTGACCTTCGCTAGCCCTAGGGCTATTCTTGTGTCTTGCCCGCCATATACCTGTTTGCCACCGTTCGACCCTGCCTGTGTTTCTGACCTCCTCTCATGTTAATAAAGCTTGCATATGGATCCGCACGTCTCACGTCTTGTCAGCCCCGTTACACATATAAACGTATTTACATATAATAGTTAATATATAATTATTACATATAATAATAGTTTGCATATGCAATCAATTAAAATAAACAATATGCATATGCAATATTTGATAATACAACATTAAACCAAACATAATTTTATACTAAATTGCATTTTGTGCTAAAGATGATTGCATATTTAAAAAAATATTTCTACAACTTATTTATAACTGACTTCATCTACTGACTTACAGTCGTTTACTGTAAGTATACAAAACAACATATTTTTGCATATTTATATTATATATTTTCATATGCAATAGTTTATAATAAAATAGCAAACAATAATAACCTGCATATGCAATATTTTAGTCACTGACTTCAAGTATTTGCATATGCAATCACTTATAATATAACACCAAATATGAACAGTTTAATATAATATTATAACAAATATAATTTTATTGCATATCTACATAGCATTCTGCATTAAATTTTATTGCATATTTAAATAGAAAATTACATATTATATTTAATATTTGCAAATGCAATATTTTATCGTAAAACAAAATTGCATTTTGCAGTAAATTAATTGCGTATTTAAATATTCTTCTTAACGTATAAATCAAACCAACGTTTGGAGCTCATAGCAGGTGTCTTTTAATATGTTCACACATTATTGCTAAAAACCAATTTCTCTAGACAGAAAATGAATGAGATTTCTATATCAGAACCCTACTGTTGAGTGATTTCATTTGTAAAGTTGGTCAACTGCTCACTGTCTATATTAGTGGGGACGCTGCCGAATATGATGAGGTAGGGCTCATAGACGGCTCCACGGATGATCCAGTTCAGTCTGTCTTCATTGTGAATCAAAATGCCCTGCTTGGCCACGCCATACGCCACCACCCAGATACTGAGCAGAAACATGAAGAAGAACAAATCCATCATCTGCAAAGAGAAGAGACAACATTCATAGCTCAGTCTGTCAGCATTTGCTGTTATGCAAAAATATGTTGCATTATGAGATGAGAGGCTCATACGAATCTTTTTTGCCGCTGAGGTCCAGAATGTTTCATATTACCGTTCTTTTTCAGTTAACATTGATAATTTCGCTTCTTCCACGGCACATCTTGCTTACGGAGTTCCGCAGGGATACATTTTAGCTCCAACTTTATTCTCTTTATATATGATAACTTTATGCGATATTCTTGCGAAACATGGGATAGCGTTTCATTGCTAGGCTGACGACACACAAATATACATGCCAATTAAAAAAGGAAATGCAAAGGCTTTAGAAACCCTGACATCCTGTCTTAAAGATCTCACGAAGTGGATGTCCTCAAATTTTCTCCATCTTAATGAATCTAAGACGGAAATCATTCTATCTGGGTCAGTATCTGCTACGGCAGTCCTTAAAACGGAACTAAAAAAAGTTTGAACCAAACATGAGATCGTGTGTCAAAAATCTGGGCATCCAAATTGACAATGAGCTTAAAATGGATAAACAAATTAGTTCTGTGGTTCGGTCTTGCTTCTTTTATCTACATCAAATCACAAAAGTTAAGCCGTTTTTAAATTTTTCAGATACTCAGAAAATCAGTAATGCGTTGATATTTTCCTGCCTAGACTATTGCAACTCGCTTTACTGCGGTATTAATAAGTCATAGATCGGCTGCAACTAGTCCAGAATGCTGCTGCTAGACTCCTGACCCGGACACCAAAATATGAACATATCACTCCCATCCTTGTTTCGTTGAATTGGCTATCTGTAAAATACAGAATTGAGTTCAAAATCCTGGTCATGGTATTTAAGTCTATTCATATTTAATTAGCATTTTGCATTACATTTTCAGTGAAAACATTTTAATCGTTTCAACGAACAGATTCATAACTTGGAATTCCACATGAAATTTTGAATGCATTAAAATGTTTTAGTAAACATCTGTATATGTTACTATTTATTGCTTTTTATTACACAAACAATATGCAAATCTGTAACAACTTCAACAATTTCATCGAATTTACAGCTGTTTACAACTATTTCCTCGAAAAACAAACGCATGAATTATACAAGTTCTGATTAACTTGTGTAATTCATTCATCTGTTCTAGAGAATTTTTTTTTTAATAAATGAATAATTCCTTATCAGAATAATAAAGTTTCAGTTTACGGTACCTTAAATTAAAATAATTGTTACTGTATTTTGAGTCTAATATTAAAGGGGTTATGTGATGCGATTTCAAGTTGTCCTTTCTCTTTGGAGTGTTACAAGCTGTTTGTGCATAAATAAGATCCCTGAAGTTGCAAAGACTAAAGTCTCAAAACCAAAGAGATATTCTTTATCAAAGTTAAGACTCTGCCACGCCCCCCTAAAACGGCTCGTTCTAACACGCCCCCACATATCTACCTCACTATGTGGAAATATTAGCATAATGCCGCCCAAATGTGCACGCAAAGAAAGAAGATGTGGTTTCAGTAACCGCAGTTAGTGTTGAAGCAGCATGTCAGGGAGACGCTGTGTGTTTCTAGGCGAAAGCAAAAGCACTTTATTTGGCCTTCCAGAAGTAGATGCATTTAGGAATCTTTAAGATTACTTACAACAGAACAGCAATGCATTTTATGGACGACCGTTTCGTGAGCCTAGGAGAGGAGGTCATTCTGACTTTGCTATGACAATCTGGCGCTTCTGAATCAGCTACTGTTTTGTTATTAGTTTGCTATTTTGCTATTGACTGTTCAAATGCGGAGTTTTGTGCATCATGTGTGTGTGTGTGTGTGTGTGTGAGAGAGAGAGAGAGAGAGAGAGAGAGAGAGAGCGGTGTGTGTGTGAGTGTGTGTGCGTGAGAGAGAGAGAGATAGAGACGGGGTCACATCACAGTGGAGTCAGCTGTCTTAACCGTGGCTTGTGTACTGCAAACACATACCAGCTTCATCACTGTGTCTGTCACGTGACTCTGTTCCCCTTTCGGGCTTGAACTGCTGGTAAAACTAATGACATTATTTACTGTCTTTACATTTATTTTGAAAGATGAAGCTCGTGATTATGGTAAGGGGCGTTACATTTCCGACGAGTGCTTGTGGTGTTCGGCCAATCACAATGCACTGGGTCAGCTGGCCAATCAGAGCAGACTGTGCTTGTCAGAAGGAGGGACTTTATAGAAAACGAAGCGTTTGAGAGAGGCGGGGCATAGAGTATTTGAAAAATAATGTGATATTTGAACATTAAAGCATGTCAACATATTCTGTTACACCAAATACACCAAATAATGATCTTTAAAAAAGCATCATATGACCCCTTTAAACATTTTGAATCAACTTGACTACACTGACTGTTTGGTTGAAATTATGGTTCCTCGATTAAAAAAAAACCCCTAAGTGATTTCAGAGGAAATACATAAATACAGATATATATATATATATAAATAATTGTTTTTCAATTTTCTTATACAGCTCTAAGTATGAGGATCATTTCTGTCTAATCTCAACTTACTGAAAGCAAATATGAACTGTGCTGAATTAATATTAATCACGTCTGAACTGTATTGAGTGAAACAGAAATTGCATTTACCTGCAGACCAGACCAACAATGAACAGCATGATGGACAGCACATCCAGAATGTTCCACAGATCACTGATGTACATCTTCGCTTTCCTCCGGAAACCAAAGCCGTCGAAGTCATGACAGAACTGTGGAGTATCAGAGTGTTTCAACATACAAAGGCATATATTTCCACAAAATGAACTCAAAAAAGAAAGTTAATTAAGAGAAACTGTGTTACATTGAGGTTAGCTTGATAAATATAGAGGATTATGAATATTATTAAGGACTAGGAGTGACATTTAAAAAAAATTTTTTTTAATTAAAATTATAAAATTAGAATTAGAATACATAATTAACAAAAACATTATAAACAACATTAATACATTTAAAAAAAATAAAATTTCAATATTTTAATTAAAAATAAAAACTTTATGTTTGAAAACGTACTTAAATAAAATAATACATTAATAAATCATCTTTAAATGGAAAAATAAATAAAGATATTTATTACATAGGCACATAGACATATAATAAAGCCTTCCTGAAAGTTTGGATGAAAAAAAAACAGACAGACAGATATAATAGCAGCATACCAGCTTTATCAAGCAATACAATTAATATGGACTATACTGTGTGTGTGTCTCACCTGTCTAACCTCCTCACACACCAGCGAGGTGAGCCACACGTACAGCAGAAGTTCCCTCCACGACGGATAGGCCTGGAAATCGATCATGAGCACCACGGCAAACAGCCACAGGAAGCCAAAATACGAGGCGATGTTCCAGTAAAACTTGACTTGAGGCGACGTGAACAGACTCATCAGACGAGACGAACAGTTCAGAGGCTTCAGCTCAGACTTCTGCGAGGAGCCGCTGAGACACAACAACAATCACTCGTTATTCAGACAGACTTCAGGCGCATTATATACATACACAGAAATATTTTATTATGTTTCTAGATGGTAACATAAGTTTCATACATTACTGTAGATACATTCATTAAACAAATAGAAGAAACTTACAGCTATTGCTCTTCAAAACTCTTCAAAGCAAGGATTCAAACAATGAGGATTACCCAAAAAAGCACCCCATCTAATGACATACATCAGCCATGCGTTCAGATGCACACTTTCTGAGTTATATGTCATCTGCAGTTTCTTAAAGAGTCCACCAGATGGCAGATCCATAACAAAATTAACTAAAGTACTATTAAACGGGGTACAGAACACTCCCCGCTTGATGTCATTAGACATCACTGTAAATAATTCCATTTTAGTCCTTTTTTGAAAGAAGCAAAATGACCTGTGAGATTGGTCTGAAGAACCTTTTGGTTGTACCTTGAGAGGTCGTCTTAACCTCTACTTTCCTTACACGTCCATCTGTGCTTGGGAAGGTATTGGTGATCATGGCCATAGGCCAATCATTGCGAGAAAGGGTACTGTCTTTCAAGAGAACAATATCTCCAACCGGAAGATTAGTGCGTGATTCAGTCTATTTACAACTTTTTTGCAAGACGGGAAGGCACTCTTGTTTCCAACGGGCCCAAAATTTGCAAGGGCCTGTACTCTTCTCCATTGACTTCCGTAAAGGTCTTTCTCTGAGAAATCGCATGTAGGAACTCCAAGGGGAAATCCAGTCTTTTGGGTGAGCAGAATGTTAGGGGTTAGTAACAGTGGTGTCTCTGGATCAGAGGAGACTGGAACTAGTAGTCTGGCATTGATTACTGCGGACACTTCAGCCATCAAAGTACACAGAACTTCGAGCGTAAGTTGGATTGATTTGTTTTGCAGCAACGTACTGTCAAGGATTCTGCGTGTGATCCGCCCATGTGCGATGCGTGAGGGGGGTGAAATTGCCATGAACAGCCTTGATCACTTAGATACTTCTGGACTGTATGGTCTGTCATGAAAGCAAGTTCTTTGCATGCTCCTACAAAATTTGTTCCACAATCGAATCTCAGTTGTTTGGCTGGTCCCCTTATAGCAAAGAAGCAACGTAGTGCATTGATACAGCTGGATATATCCATGGACTTGATCACTTCCATATGTACTGATCTAGTGCTCATGCACTTAAAAAGGATTGACCAACGTTTACTGTTTGCAAGTCACAACGGTCCATGGGCCGAATTCGTCCAAACCCACATAAGAAAAAGGAGGAGACATGTCGAGACGCTCTGGTGGAAAATCTGCCATTCTCTGTTGTACAAATCTACCCCTTAGTTTGCGACAGGTAACACAGTGATACAAGATGGAGCTGATGAGCCTTTTGCCATTCAATCCACAAGCCTGCAGTCCTTATTGCTCCTTCCGTGAATTGACGACCTTGGTGTTTCACTTCACAGGGTTGTGACATTGTTGTTCTTAGGAATGATAATCGGATTCTTCTCATGCTGATCTAGAGAAGCATTTTCCAGACGTCCTCCTATTCTCAGCAAGTCATTGTGAATCTGAGGATTGAGTTTCTTAAGTTCACTGCTTCTTGGGATGTTCTTCTGTTCCACTAAGGCACTGATTTCATCTCTGTATGTTTCTTTCTGCACAGATTCGAGAATAACACACTTGGCTGACAAAAGCTCTTCAGGAGTTCTGGCCCTTTTGCATAGGTGCCAGCCTTTGCATTCGTTTGAGTGAGTATTCTATAGAGATTCACATACTTTTGCACCGCACAGATATGTAACACTGGATAATTTTTCTCAATAAATAAACGAAAAAGAAAATATTTTTGTCTCATTTGCTCATTTTCTATTAACTCAACTAACCGGTAATGCCGTTTGATTTTGACATCTGAGCTTCCAGAAAAGACTGCATCCATGGCCAGTTTCTGCTGCTCCGTCCTCTCGGCCTGTCTCTGGATGACTTCATCTCGTCTGCCAGAGTTCAATTGAACATCAAGGGTTAAAACACCACTTATAAGAACAAACCATTGAAAGTTTTGTGGTAAAATTGCAATTTGCAGCTAAATTATTCAGTGTAGTGCTGTTATCTGGTGGTGTGTGCATGTAATGACTCATAAATATGCTTTTAGGTTTGTTTTCCCCTTTAATAAAGTACAATTAATAACATATTCCATGAAAACAAGTGTTTTTACCTGAAGGTCAGGAAGCCGGTGTAGATGAGAGGAAAGAAGATCATGCAAAGCAGCACTTTCCAGTGTGGATTATCCACGGACAGCTCTCCACACCAGATCTGAGTCAGCAGAGCCTGAGCCATACAGAAAACAGCACAAATAACAGCGTGCACAGGTAACATTGTATTATTTTGAGTGTATGGTTTGCATGAATTGCTTACCTACCCTTTCACAGACTCCAAAAAAAGAATATATATGCAATCTTTTAGACCACAAAACAACTTTTAAATAATACAGAAATACAATTATATTAATAACAAACGCAATAATTTGTATTAAAAAGTAAATCATAATAATAAAATTTATAATAATAATAAATGTGCAACCATTAAGACATATATGCAATAAATATGCAATAAATTTAACAAAACAATAACGTGTACAATATTAATAATAATAGCTAGCTAATATTATTGTACAAATTATTGTTTTATCTATGCAATATGATGATAATAATAATAATAATAATAATATGATTACATAATAACATCTTTATGCAATAAATTTAACAAAACAATAACGTGTACAATATTAATAATAATAATAGCTAGCTAATATTATTGTACAAATTATTGTTTTATCTATGCAATATGATGATAATAATAATAATAATAATAATAATATGATTACATAATAACATCTTTATGTAATATTAATGAATAATTGTTCTCAAATATTCTTTTATATTTATTATTGTGTCAAAAACAGAAATAAAAAATACAAATAGTTTGTAAATGTAAACATCATCATCATATAATAATCCTTATAAATAAAAAATATGAATTAATAATAATAATAATAATAATAATAATAATAACTTTATATTAAATTAAAAATGAATATTTGCTCTTTAAGATTTGTGTAAAGATAAATTGCTGTTTAGAAAAAAAACAAGTAAAATAATTAAAATTCAAATAGTGCATATTGGTTACACAAAATAATTAGCATGATATTGGTAATATACCCCATAGAGAATCTATGGGCTATTGTCAAGAGGAAAATGAGAAAAAGAGACCAAAAAATGAGGATGAGCTGAAGGCCACTGTCAAAGAAACCTGGGCTTCCATACCACGTCAGCAGTGCCACAAACTGATCACCTCCATGCCACGCCGAATTGAGGCAGTAATTAAAGCAAAAGGAGGCCCTACCAAGTATTGAGTACATGTACAGTAAATGAACATACTTTCCAGAAGGCCAACAGTTCACTAAAAATGTTTTTTTATTGGTCTTATGAAGTATTCTAATTTGTTGAGATAGTGAATTGGTGGGTTTTTGTTAAATGTGAGCCAAAATCATCACAATTAAAAGAACCAAAGACTTAAACTACTTCAGTCTGTGTGAACTGAATTTATTTAATACACCAGTTTCACAATTTGAGTTGAATTACTGAAATAAATTAACTTTTCCACGACATTCTAATTTATTGAGATGCACCTGTATATGGCACATGTCACCATTCTGTGATACTTTTGCATCTTTTTTTAAATTAAATATTTTTTTTAAATAAACACTTCTCAGTAAGCAAACAAAGGACAGGTTTGTTCACCTGGACTCCTGAGTGAGCGATGAAGCTCTTAGCGTCAGCCTCGAGCGCAAGCCACAGACAGGTGCTTCTGCCCCACGACGGAGAGATGCGGATCAGCAGCTTCTGCGCCCGCTGCGCATCCCAGCCGTGACACTCAGTGAACACACCTGGGACAGGAAGACACCAGCACAGGGTTAAAGGTCACAGCTCTGCTCAGAGGACATGAGGTGATGTGTGTCGGCTCGTACCGATGGCTTGTTTCTCGTAGTGGCTGGCAAGTTCTCCCATTTCCTTTGCCTCTTCGCTGTCGTCCTCTCCGCTCTCCTGCGCCAGTTTCCTCAAGATCTTACTGGCTGCCAGAGCGGCTGCGATACAGTCTCTGCACTGCAAACACACACACACATGCACACACACACGTTTGGTTCTGTCAATTGTGGGGACTTTCCATAGACTTCTATTACTTTTATACTGACCAAACGATGTTTTCTATTTTTGCATTGTTACACTTTCAGATAAACATCATTTACTATTTTTACCATTTTTTCCCCTCATGTGCACTGCAGACCGGTCCCCACAATGTAGCATAAACAAGTACACTCACATACACATGCACGCACACACACACTCGCACTCTCACACACACACACACACGCTCACACGCACACTCACACACACACGCACGCACGCTCACACACACACACTCGCACTCTCTCACA